GAGATTCCGTGTCTCGGGGACTTCGTAGGACGCAACGGTGTAGGGATGGATCCGGACAAGGTACAAACCATCAAGGACTGGCCAGTACCACGAACACAAGAGGTACTTCACAGCTTCCTTGGGTTGACTGGTTACGTCCAACGATTTTGTCCAGACTACGCAGCATTTACTGCAACAATGTTCACTCTCTTGAAAAAGAAGAACAAGAGGAACGCGAAGATCCAATTTAATGATGAGCAGTTGAAGAATTTCAAGGAGTTAAGAAGGCGACTGTGTAATCCTCCAGTGTTGCACCTCCCTAACTTCAGCCAGTCCATGCATCTGCGCACTGATGCGAGCAAATTCGCTGTTGGTGGAGTATTATTCCAAGTCGTGGACGGCGTTGAGCGACCCATTGCGTATACCAGTCGAAAGCTGAAATCCGCGGAGCTCAACTATCCAACACAGCAGCAGGAGCTACTTGCTATCGTACACGCGCTAGCAGCTTTTCGATTTTACTGCTTGAACAAACCACCGATCGTCGAGACGGATCACAAAGGTCTCGAAGGGTTGTTCACACAGAAGATGGCGAACCGCCGGTTGGCTAGGTGATACGACATTCTAGCTGAGTACCAACCCACGTTCTCGTATATTCAAGGTGCGAAGAACGGCATCGCGGATGCATTGAGTCGCAGACCTGACTTGCAGCCAGATACGAAGTATTTCCATGACCTGAGTGTGTCCAGCTTCAACGACACTTCCTTCAGTCTTGCTCTTAGTGAAGTGTCTACAGATTCAGAGCTGCTGAAGAGGATCAAGGGTGCTTACGTCAAAGATCGAGATGTCCAGACAATCCGGGCAGCAATCCAGCAACGTACAAGCACCTCAAAGTCGAAGGAAAAAAAACCAGCACCACAAGCTATACCGATACTATTCGGAGGCAAACGGCTTGCTGTGGTACCAGTCTCCGGTGGATGACCATCCTCAAATCGCTGTTCCCAACGATGTGAAGTTGAGACAATCGATAATCAAGGAGAGTCATGACACCAGCTACAGTGGCCATCCTGGTGCCGAGCGAACGTACTTGACGTTAGCACGACGCTGGTACTGGTCCAAGATGCTCAAGTCGATCCAAACGTTTATTGCTGACTGCGAACCATGTCGACGAAACAAGCCAAGGCTGACAAAGCCTCCTGGCTTACTCGAACCATTGAGTATTCCCGATGAGCGCGGGGGATCGATCTCCATGGACTTCATAACGGATTTGCCTAGAACAAAGCGTGACGTTGATTCGATTTGGGTCGTCGTCGACCGACTGACCAAGAGATGCCACTTTGTGCCGACAACGAAGAAGGTAACAGCCGAAGGCGTTGCCCGTCTCTTCATCGACAACATTTGGAAACTTCACGGTATGCCGACGAATATTGTATCCGACCGAGACAGAAAATTCGTGTCTGCGTTTTGGCAACACGTCTTCAAGTCTATCGGCACGTCACTCAGTATGACAGTAGCACACCGGGCCCAAGGCGACGGACAAACTGAGCGAATGAATTGAACGCTCGAAGAGTATCTTCGATGCTTCGTCAGTCCACGTCAAGACGACTGGGACATTCACTTAGCGAACGCTGAGTTTGCTATCAACTCAACGGTGAACTCCAGTACTAAGCTCGCACCGTTCGAGGCGGATCTAGGGTATATTCCACTGAATCCGCTACAGCTTGCAGCGGAGCAGCTCGATACGGCTGCAAAGAGTCGTCGAGGCGCTGAGTTTCACGAGCGACAAGCAGCTATTCTTTTTCGCTGCCGTGAAACACTTGCTCAAACGCAAGAGCGAATGCGTGATGTTTACGACAAGAATCGACAAGAACAAGTCTTTGAGGGTGTACTTGAGCACCAAACACTTGGACCCCAAGCACACTGGTCTGCCAGCATCCACTAAGCTCGGTCCGAAGTGGATTGGACCTTACGCTGTTGTGCGGAAGATACACAACCATGCTTACGAACTTAACATTCAAGCTGGCAACAAGCTTCACCCAGTATTCAATACGGGTTCGCTGAAGCCGTACAACGAGTCGACACGCTTGTCGCGACCCAACGAGGTTGTACTGGCTGAAGGAAGTATCGGCCAGATCGTCAAACGCTTGGTGAAGAAGAGGACACACAAGCGACGGACCCAATTCTATGTGGAGTGGGTGGGAGAAGAGAAGCAGACCTGGGAACCGGTTGAAAACTTGTCACAAGTCCCAGATCTAATCGTAGAGTTTGAGACTGCAAGGCGCAAGAAACGAAGGAGAAGATGAAGTAAAATCAACTTAAGGGGGCTCAAAGACCTACATGTATTCCCGTACTACATCCCCTCCAAGTTGAAGCTACTGCTGCATCAAGCGTCTCTTCCGGTTACGCGCCGTCTTCGAAGTGCGTTTGCCGTGGCGACACACGTACCCAAGTTGAAGCTGAACACGACTAATCCACTTTACACTCTCAATCCAAAGGTAGTTCGAGAGAGGAGACACTTCCATCGGTGGATCGTGGTCAGCCAAGTATTCATCAAGCACGACCAGGCGAGCATTGGGACCAGTCTTCACCACGACGAAACAGTGACCGATGTCATCCTGGCCCACGCTCACCAAGTACGTACCCGGAACCAAGGCTTCAAAGAAGTGGTTCAGAGTCGCAATACTCCCGATGGATTCATGAAGAATATTGGGAAGCATGATGCCGTAGTCTAACGGAACACTTTGGCGCTGAAGCGTTTTCCAGAACTCCGTGACGTCTTCGCGAGATACGTCAAACGCAATCGCCTCGGGACGAGTTTTTTTATACTCATCCCACATCTCCATGGTAACCAGATTGGGCCGACCAAGATGGTACAGCGCGCAGCGGAGCGCATCCATGAAACACGTACCAGCTTCGGAAGCATTAGCACGAACGTCGTACCATCCTTTGAATGTTATTTCAGAACCCGAAGCCTTCCACTTGTCGACATTTTGCATCATGTACCGCGTCGATTCCTTGTCCAGCAACTCCATCCAGACCCAGCTCATCTGCAGCGGGCGACCCTTCCACTGAACAAGATAGCAGCGGTGCGGAGATTCCCCTTCGACGCCAAGCAAGCGTGTAATTCCAGCCGAGTTCGCATAATCCCAAGGAGCATCCGGATTATAGTGGTTGCGATGGTTCGTAGTTAGATGTCCCTCCGGAACTTTCGGAAGCGGAAAGGGATGCCAGTCCGACATCTCATCGCCACGACGAAGCCGAGCGCGCTTCGTCCGTTGGGTGTTTTCCACATCTTCGTCGTTAAACAATCCCACCTCTTGAAGAGGAACATCCTCAGCTGCAACGCTATCATCACCAGCATCGTCAGCCGCAACATCACCATCAACGTCATCTCCACACAAATCTTCGATCGTGATCTCGTAGATGAGTTGCTGGAGCACGGTGGGCGGCGACGCCGCAGAGGCATCGTGAGGCGCAGCCAAAGAGGAGCCAACAGGAGACGAAGGCGAACGGGGAGGCATGAGACTTGAGCCAGGAGCTTCAGCAGCCGCGTCGTTTGGGAATGGAGCAACAGGTTCCCGTACAGGCGACGATGGAGCAACAGGAGCCCGTACAGGCGACGAGGGAGCAACAAAAGCCCGTACAGGTGACGAGGGAACAACGGGGGCCAGTACAGACGACGGTGGAGTTACAGCACCAGCAGGAGCGGAGCTCGACCATGGCAGCCGGAACAGCAGGGACTGCAGCAGGAGCAGGCGGCGTCGGCGAGCGAGGCGAGGGAGCGGCGGAAGGCGAGCTAGTGGCAGCAGCAGCAGCAGACGCAGTAGGCACAGCCATCCCCCAGGACGGACCTATCCAAGCCCCAAGTAAACAGGCCCGCACAAGGCAAGCGTGGATAAACACGGGGTCGGACTAATCCGTCAGGGAACGGCACCTCTGGCCTTCAGCGCAATTTCGGGAATGACAAGACTGAGGGGACGCGCACGCCAGAGGGAGGGTGAGTGTATCAGATATGATAAGTGTAGAGTTACAGCCAATCAGAGACAGGCTCAGTTTAACATAGATTCAGTATGTAATACAAAAAGGCAGATGTAGGGCGGCCGTGGAACCTTCTAGAAGGCTCTAGAAGGTTCCATCCACCTGAACTGCGGGGGCGGCACTTCTCGTTTCGCGCGCCCTCCCCAAGCTAGCGTTTTCCTGAAATATAACTACTTTGATATGGACGTTGTCTTGTCATTTTGTTTTATTGTTTTATGAAAATACAGTGACCGGATGTCTGCACATGCTTTCGAGATGTCCAGTCTTATATGTATGGGGCTTTATGTAGCCGGACATATTCCTTAGACGCCGCCTAATCGTCCTAATAGACAAATACAATACACAAAACCAAGGTTTGTACAGATTATAACACGTTAGATAAAAACAACATAACACCAGTGGTATCATTGATTGTGTGATCCAACATTCCTCGGGTTATTAATGACAGATTGTGGATTTATCATTTATATGATCTGAGATCAATGATCTGGAAGATTTTATACAAATCTCCACAGGTCCAGTGTGATCACTGATTGTGTGACAAGGGGGGCTGGAAGTCGCATATATGCCCATAAGCAATGTACAAACTGAACCTCACGAAAGTTCGTTGCTAAGAATCGGTGCCTGTTGTATGCTGCTCCATTGCAGAACATGATTAAAAATGCACATCCTTGCAGCATGTTCTGCAGCTAGTGTGAAAACCGCACCGTCAAATAGTAAAATTGACGGAGTTATGGGAACTCGAGGAGTTGGCCGTATAATTGTGCCCAGTGCATGTTATACCGATTGCAAAAAGTAACTGTTTTTTAGTCATGTAAAAAAACGGGATTTGCTGCAAGTTTATAATTTTAGTCACGTAAAAAAAACGTGATTACTTGCAGCTTCCTGGTACATGTTTGAGCCGCTCGTGCGAGTCCATTATCCTCTCACTATTCACTATTCAATCTGCTCACTCCCTCACACCTTCCTGCTTACCCAACCATCCCATGCGTCTTTCTTTCGTCTTTGCTGCAATCGCGGCTACCTTCCTCGCTTCCAGTGATGCCCTCAAAGCAAACCAGCAGCTACTGAGGACCGACCACACGACAGATGCCGACTTCGAAGAGAGAGGTGCCCCTTACAGCGAAGTGAAGGCGTTGGCCAAAAGCTTTGGTATCAGTTTAAAACAGGGGGGGAATAATCCAACCTACTACCACTCTTTGGATCCCTCGACGCTTAATGAGTACCAGAATCAGCTCTACAATCTGAATAAGGCCTACAGGAAACGTGAAAACGGACGCATCAAACCGGCCGGAAGCTAAGCGGTGTGAGAGCGTCAAGTCCAGAACAAGTAACATGTGTCTCGAAAAAGATAGGGCGTTTTTGTATTTAGATCTAAATAGAAAAAGGCACTTGTTGCTGTTCCAACCTGGCACATATGAGACGAGACTAATAATCCAGACTGTTCCAGACTAGATCCAGACTGGTCCAGTTTCGTTCCAGACTGGTCCAGACTCGTTCCAGATTCGTTCCAGATTAAACGAGCGAGTGCGAGTTCAAACCGCTGGTATTAATTCTAAGCAGGGTATACAGATCCGGATAAACGAAGCACATACTAGCTTTAGCATTGTTAGCGAATGTAATACTTATAAGACAATCTAAATCACTCTTGACTTTAGTGAAGACACGGGCGCCAATTCGTGCAGGTCATTTATGTGATGCCTTGAGCGTTCACACAGGTGACAAATGTATTGTAAAGGTTTTTAAATGCTCCTCTCCATTTCTAGCTGTAGCACATTCGTAGGTACCGGTAGCGATAACATTGCAGCATTTGGTTGTCGACTCGTCCGAGCTGAGGTGCACCAGTAAAGTGCTCGAAGCTCAAAAGCACGTAGATACCACAATTTTAGCTGTCGTATTGTACTCCAACATCGGAGCTGTAAATGTGAACGCTGTAAGATGGCTCCTCTGCTGTTTTCCGGAGAAGATGTATCAACGTTTTGGCAGCAGCTCGAACAAATGTGACGTACTTTGAGCTCATTGGGTCGTAGATATGTACTTCCCGTGATGACGACCGTATCCTGATGCTGCACCAATGGATACCGTTACAGTTGATCGGTATAAGAACCACCTCACTGCTATTCGCGCGCAAAAAAACAGTAATATTATCGGTATTGACCGTGATCTCCCCATTGAGAACGATGCCCAAGTGTGATGGATCAACTAGTGTAACGTTTGGATCCGTACCGAATAATTTTTCGGCAACCATGCACATTGTATCATCACCGACACAACCTCTAGCAGCAAGATCCATAGCATAAATTTATATCACATTAAATTAGCATATTAACCCAATAAAAAATATTCAATGTGAAAAATAAGGTCGTACCGATTCGCGATTCAGCGGTAAATTTTCTAATTTCTTGAACAAATCGTCCCTATGTTCCACCTCGAAATCTTTGGGAAGTCGTTATTTAAGTCGACACACTGGATCCACTCTTTTGTTTTGTCGATTCTTGACACTGCTTCCATCGCTCGATGCCACTTCTTCATTAACATGAGCGTAGATGTACTGAAAACTCCAACTCCAGTTACCTCAACTGCGACATCTTTTTCAGCAAGCCCAACAAACTTACGCTGCGAAGCAGACACTTTAGCGTCACCTTTCGAGGGATAATCCCTGGGTAAACGCGGTGGAGGTGATCTAAATCGATTAAAAGTTTGGAAACTGGTAAACTCGAAATTTTGTGAGCTTTCGGCGGCTTCAACTTGGTCTTCAACCCAAAAACTAGAAATTGCTGCAGAGATTTAGCTGCTTCGTACGTTTCAGACCCGGTCAAGATACTTTGGACGGATGATAAGCTCATATTCAAGTTGAGTAGGTTAGAATCCATACGCGTCATTCTGATACCTTTGTTGACAGTTTTTTTCTTTGCTCTTGGCTTAATTTTAGGTCTCCCACGAGCTCGGCACGGAGAAATGATCTGAATATCGTTGTCGATTAAAACGACTCGAGTTAAAAATCTGCATATACCAGGCGCACTTTTAGCAATTCCACTGTTTTCATTTCCAGCATTACCGTTGCTTAACGTATCTGGTATGTAGCCGTTGGAAGTCTCACCGTTCACTCTGCTTGTCGTACTTAACAATGTCTCGGATTCACTGAAGGCGGGCTCTAGAGGAAAATTTAAACCACTCTGCTCGATAAAACCCGTGTCTGCTTGTTGCTCCTCGTTCAAAACTTCGTACGAGTTGGACACATCATTCCCGTCCAAAATGCTAGTTGTCTCTGACAAAGGAGCTTCTATCCTTGGTTGCAGCGGGACATCCCTGTCCACAATATTATGCTGTTGGTCGACTGGTGTTTCACTTATCATTGTACACTGAGAGAGATGTTCTTGATGTGTAGATGTCAAGTCACAATCGCCTGTCAATGAAATTAACTCGACAAACCGTTTAGACATGCCACAATTTTTAGAGCTTTCATTGCCGAATTGTACTCGATCATTCCAAGGTTACTCATACCACTGCAAATTTCATTAGCCACAATTCGCGCCTCGCGATATTTTCGATTGCAGTCCCATGGCTGTACTGATGAGCGCGAAATTACTGTTTTAACACGGAACGGAGTAGGCTGTACATCACTGTGAGCTGGCCGCTGACGCAGAGTTGAAAGTAACCAACGTGGATGAAGCAGCTTTATTGGGATGATGGTGTCCATCTTCATTGACTTACGAACGTAGAAAACGTGTCTGCAGGGTAATATCCGTGTGCTCGTAAATAAGCACGAGCAGTGCCAATTTTGCTTTTGAATTGTATACTCGACACTCGGCTCATCCAGAGATTCATCTTCTTCCCTATCTCCTGATAAATATTATACTCGGAAAGGCTTCGTAGTAGCTGTAGGATGCGCGATGTTGAACGTAACTATACTGTTCGTATATCAGCTCACAGGCATGTCGACTAACCAAATTCGCAATCACTGTCATCTCGTCATCGCATTCCGTATGGTGAACGACAGATACCTTGTTAATTTGTCCATCCAAATACTGCTCGGCTCGAGCTTGATAGAGCATGATAGCTGCTATGCATTCGTCATGACCCATACTACTGTTCACAACATCTTTGATCTGTTGTCACGACGCCTCCAATCTGTTGTTGGTGTTGTTACCAAGTGTAACAGCGTTCTGCCGTGTGTAGGAGCACCACATTTCCTTACAGGTATCCCAGCTCTTTTTAAAATAGACTTCACTATGATGAACTCATTCTTGATCGTTTGATTCAACAAATAATGGATCGATGATGTAGCTACTTTGCTCCAGAAATTCATTCGGAAGATTCTCGGGTCCTTCATCATAAACACCACCAGTGTATCTCGAAGAGTTCTGGTTCTGGTATTCATAGCTGCGTCTACTACAGCCGAGCTCAATCATGTGCTTCATGTAGCGCCGATGCTTTTCAAATTCACGTTTACTTCTAGCGTACACCATGAGTTGAATGCAATTGCGTAATTGTTCTTTCTGGTACATACTAAACCCGTAAACTCCACTCGCAAGTTCCTCTACAAGATACTTGATAACGTGAAATTGACAGAGTAAAACCGAAACGCTCGGAAGTGAGGACTTCAATACGGAAATTTCCGTGAAATCCTTATCAACGATCACACATTGAATTTGAGTCCACTCCGGATTGTTTTTCCTTGAATTCGTCAATTGCTGCTTGTAGTGTTTCAGATCTTTCGTTCTTAATTAAAGAATGCTGAGCGAGCTTGTATTTTCCTGCATGAGTACACTCTAATCCTTTCGAATACTGCTTGAATGAATGTGGAATGTGCGAAGCTGGATTCTTGATTTTCGCATTTCGAGCTTTCACCGTTTGATTTGTACTTGTTCGAAACAGCTAAATGGCAATGGTTAGAAAATTTGAAGCACTTGTAGTTCGTATCGCAGTTTAGGCAGTACCTGGTAGGTCTGTTCTTCATACTCACGCACAAAAGCATGAAATTCATCCCACGAATCAAACTGGAGCTTTATCAAGGCTGGTCCAGCACTATGAGAAGGAGGTGATGCTACTAGCACTGGCGACGAAGCAGACTCCACTTCGAGCGACGAACCTTCATTCGTATTTGCTGAGATATCTCCGCGGCCCACTTGAGGCTGTCGAACACCGCGTGGTGTTGTGTTCGCTTTTCTTTCTAACCAGCAACGCTGGTTACATGTGGTTCTGAGAGTTTCTGGGCAAAATGGCGTTGGTGGCAAGTGCACCTGTCAGTTTTGGTTTATATTTCTCAGCCGACTGACTGCACAGTATACATGTTCGGATGCAAAACCCTCGTATAGGCCTTATTTGAAGGTTTTAGGGTAGCATGTTTTCGTGACCAAGTGGTTCCTACCTACTGGTAGGCTGGAACAGCAACCACTAAAACGTACTACCTCCTCGGAAAATAAATCACCTTACCAATACGATTACAGACTGCTTAAAATCCATACCCGTTAAAGAAGTGTACGATGAAGCAAAACTAATTCCTGCGGTACCCCACCTAAGGCGATATACTCCTTGCAAAACTGTTGGCTGTTTGAATCTCCCGCCCATTTGCCATCCACTTCGCAAGATCATAAGAAGCAACGGCGCTGGCGTTCGTGCGGCGGTGAACGGAGGCCACCTACAGTTAAGGGTGGAATGCGTAAGGACAGGTGAGTCAGCAAGGGCATCGCTTTCGATATAAATCGTGTGTCCGTCGTGACAGACGTTGGTGTGCGCTGGACTGGCTGCGGAAGGCAACGTTAGCTGCTAGACACCGTGCAACGGCCCCCGATTATTGCATGCGATAGTGAAGGTATGGACAATCTAACATGTCCAGTTTGCTGATGCCGGTCAAGGCCTGTGTATCGAGCGGATGAATGCGACGAAGTCTTCATGCTTGTCGCTCAACGACATCCGCTGTCGTGAATCAAGCGCATGTCGAGGCAAACGTCTCTGCAGTGGCTCACGGATTCAGTAGTCCTTACGAACTTGCTGCTGAAATGGCGAACTAGAGCGCCTGCAGCTACACTGATGTGGTGGAACAAGCACACCCGCAGTTGAGCAATTTGAACATTAAAGCCTGGGTCTGTTATCGTTTCAACGATCAAAGCTCCTCGAATGCGGTCTTGCTTGGCACAGATAAGGTGGCGTGCTATACAGTACCCACTTGGCATGCAGTGCATGCCTTGCACCTATCAGCAGCCCTCCGCGAGCTTTACAATAGTGCGAGCTCATAAGACGGTGATCCACGATGAAAAGCGGCCAGAATTGCACCTTTGAAACTGCAAGTCTGGCTGCA